GAAGTCCTTCTTCAGTCCGTATCTGCACTCTAGATTAACCTGCAAAGCCCCGAGGTGGATCCTCGGGGTAGACACTCCGATGCTTAAGTCAGCAATAATTGAGGCTACCTTTAAAGCGTAGACACAAGGAGCTTAGGGTTGGTTTCAATTACCTTTTGGCGTGGCCCTTAAGAGGTATTTATATGTTCCAATGCAGAATCCACGCGGCATGCCAATCAAGATGCACAAGGCTCGAAACTTATCATATCACACTCTGATACCACCAAAATCTGAAGATCAAATTATAAAATCCTCTCTGATATCATAAGATCTCGAAATACACTCTGGTTTACAAGATCATGATTTATCTAAAGCTATGCTCAATTTACAAGTGGCTAGCCTTTTATCACGTCACTCCCCTTGATTTCCGAGTCTCAGGGCACACTACCTGAAATGGTGGACGAGAAAAACGAGGTGAGATAACTCAGTAAGTAAAATATGGATTGCCCTTAATTAAACTTACAGCATGCCACATGTGCAATCACGCAAAACAGGTACAGTACGGGAACGAAATAGACGTCTCCTCTATAGGTCACAGCCAGTGTTATAAACCTCCCACTGGCAGGCTACAGAATTTGCTGGTGTATAATCCCCACTAGCAGGGTCATTGAACGAACCGGTTCTATCAATAACATGTCGACATGTGCTAGCGTTTATAAACCTCCCACTAGCGGGCACACGAATAACATGACCATATCGGAGACAAAACAGGCAGAAGTTAACAGAAAAATCACGATTCACAATCACTTTCAAATCATCAGGACAATCACTTAAATTTCAAGTAGGCATACTCAATTTAATGAAAAGCATAAAACATTTCACTTCAAATCAGTCACACTTGTGTAAAACAGGTTTAGTCCCGTCACTACTTCAAAACAAATCAAAACATGCTTTTAAAAACAATATGGGCATTACCATAAATTTACTTACCTCACTTGCATAAAACCGAGCACTCAATTTCAGTGCTAACTGACAGAACGATCAAGAACCGAATCAAAATATTCCCAGAATTAATACCACTATCACAAATTTACACTGAAATCATCATTAGGATCATTCCTAATCACAAGGCTATTTCCATAAATCTCCACATGATCAAATATCTCCAAATTCGTTCTTATATCACAAACTAATCATTTAAATCCCCGTTAATTGTCGACTCTCGGGGTGTGAACAGTAACCGGTGAACAGTGCCGGTGAACAGTGACCCCGACGTGAACAGTAACTCCACTCCCACAAATTGGCCAAAACACTAACTAATCTCACGGGATTTCACTCCAAGATCACAACAACCCAATTCAAGCTAATTTACACTTAAACCAAGCTTAAAACATAACTTAATCTACCAAAATTTTCCCACTTCTCACGGCAGCACAGGGAGAGCATAACTTTGGCAAATCACAATTCACACACACGGAATTTTCACACAAAACGTCACAGCAGCTAATTCAAGCTCAATTCTACTTAATCAAGCTTAAAACACATTTAAAATGCTACTAAATGCTACCGGAATTCCTCCCCATTTTTGGCACAATTCGGACACACACAAAGCAACAATTAAATGGCTAATTTAGGGCTTAAAGAAGTGGCCATCATACCAGAATTTTCCAGCAAGAACCGGACTTGGCAGGGAGAAGAAGCCGGTGGCATCTGCAGGGGAAACTCACGGAAACTACTAGAAATTTAGGGAATAAACAGAAATCAGCATAACCCAGCCTAAATCAAGGTTAAAGAGATGATTTCTTGGCTGTGGCTTTACCCGAAAAATGCCCAGAAATTCAAACCCACATAGCAGCCGGCGGACAGGGGAGAAGAGCAGAGCAGATCCGGGATTTCCAGCAAAGGGGGGGGAGAACCGACCAGATCTGGGTTTCTGCAGAGAGGGAGAGATTTCTGGGTTCTAAATCAGGTTCTTGGACAAGAAAATAAGGGAAAATCATCAGGCTTTACCGGTTTCTCAAAGGCATGGCTGGGTTCCCCCTTTTTTTTCCTCGGGTGGCTGCAGTGGGAAGAAGAAGAGCAGAATCGGGAATGGCTGGGAAGAAAAGAAAGAAAGAAAAAGAAAAAGAAAAGAAGTCATCCTTATCCAAAATCTTTCCCTCTTTAAGTCCCTCAAGTTTGGACATTTCGGCTATTAAGCCCAAAACAATATTTTTCTCACACAAAAACCCTTGCTTAAATGCTAAAATAGCACAAAATTTTGGGGTATTACACTAAATATAAAGATGCGTCCTTAAAGTTGCCAAGGAAAAATTAGTCTCATGATGAGGGAAGACCGGTCTAGGGAGATCAAAGTTGTCAATACCGTATCAGTATGCGTACCAATTTTGCTACTGAAATGGTATGTACCGGATACCAGAATTTTTACATACCATTTCGGATTTATCACTATAAAAAAATTTTGTGAAGAAGTTCAAGAAAAGGACTCAATTGAAAAAATTAAAAAGCTGAGGATGAAATTTACTAAGATAAACTCACAAATTTAGCTCAAACCCCAATATTGAGCCCACTAACAATTTAATTCAAGTTTCAATCCAATTTCATAAACCAACCCATCAAAACCCAAATTTAACAATAAGAAGAAAACCCTAGTTTCCTCTCTTTTAAAGGGGGAAGGAGGAGGTGGCGACAAACAAAAGAAAAAAAAGGAGGAGAAAACAGAAAAAAAAGAGATAAGCCTCTTGATTTTTCTCCCTTATGCAGATCCACCATCACCTCTGTTCTTTCACTTCGGATCTTCACCATCCTCTTGTTGATCATCACTCTCATCGCCATCACCCTCACCAATCACCTAGCAGCCATAAAAGAAACAAAAAAGAAACAAGAGAAGACAAAGCAGATCTAGTTGCAAGCCCCCTTGGGGACTCCAATCTTGACAATCTTCTTGCATCTCATCATCATCACAGCCTCCACCTTCATCACTGGTAATCACCAAAGCAGAAAGGTTTGGCAACCACCAGAAAAGGGGAGAAGACAAAGCAGATCTAGCAGGTAATCACCAAAGCGAAGGGATTTAGCAGCCATCGGAAAAGGGTAGGATCCTTTTTTTTTTTTTTTTAAATTTTGGACAGTGTATACTGGCTGAAATTTTGATGTACCGGCTGCTATATCAAAATTTTGGCTAGTACACTAGATTTTGACCGAAACGAAATTCCATTCTATATCGTTTCGGTTAACCTAAAAAGCTAGTATGTACCGGCCGGAAATGGTATTGATAACATTGCTAGGGATACCATGATGGTAAATACTAGAAAAAAAAATGTATAATTTCTTAGCATTTAACATTAGGTGTTAAAACCTTATTTTATTTTTTTTGTTTTTTACATCATTGTTATCTATTTATAGAGATTTGAGTCTTTAACTTTAATTCTAAATTAAGATTTTTAAGTTAGTATTTAAACTCAACCTATCTCTTATTTATAGATATTAAAATTTTAACATGAGACCTCTAGCTTTCTAATGGTAGTCCATAAATAATGAAGTATTGCAAACAAACTTAAGTAGTTTGTGATAATCTTTTTTGTGAAAATAAGAGTTTTTGAATTTGAATCACATAACATACGAACAAGGGTGGAGGCAGAAATTTTTTTTCAAGTAGGGCAAAATACTAAAATTTTCAAAGTTCAGGGGGGATTAAATAATTTTTCATAAACTAATTTACAAGATCTTCAAATTTCAGGGGGGGCGAGCGCCCCCCCTCGCACCCCCTGGCTCCGCCACTGCATACGAGTAGATTAAATTAAGAGATATAGAAGAGTATTGTATTCCATTGTGGAACCTCAAAATAATAATTAAGTATTAGTTTAGTGGTATTCATTTATATGTTTTCAAAGTAGGGACATAATTAACTAGTTTAGTGATGATATTTTACTTGTGTTAAAGGTATGTTTGGTTAAAGGGAAAGGAAAAGATGAAAATTTCACGATTTAGTTAGTGAAAAATTTGCAAAAGAAGGAAGGGAGGGGAGTCCTTTGTACTTTATTTTTCACTTTTAATTTTTTCACTTATCATTTTCCTCCCCTCCCCTCCCTTCCTCTTTGATTCCCTCAAATCAAATACACCGTAAAAGAATGAAGTGAAAACAAAATTCTTATTAAAAAATTAAAATAACTTAAATTTTTTTTAATTTATATTTTTAGGTTACACATTAGAGGAGTATTAATTATACTCTTCTATAGTTAATTTACATAGAAACATAAAAATTTACTTTAAATTTATCAACTATACAATTAAAATTACTCACATTATATTAGT